TTTATTTTATCGGGATTTTTTATTCCAAGTGACCACACATTAAAACGTCCGATTTGGGAAAGTTTACTTGTAATTTTCGTGTTGACATATTAAATAATTTGATTCTTAAATTAATAAACTGTTGATCCATAGATTTTTTGGAAGTTATTCCTAAAACTTATGTTAGGATTATAGAATTTTTCTAGAAAGCCAAATGTTAACTTTCAAAACGTTTTACTATCGATCTGAAAGCCCTAGAAAGCCCAACCCAAACTAGATCAGATCACCTTTCGGATCTCCCTTCGCCAGCTTAACTGTGTCAGTGCAAAACGCTGGTCTTTTGTTTGTCTCCCTCGAAGATCTGCTCATTTCCCATGCCGAGCGCAGATACAGATACAGAAGCAACAGAAAAAAAAAGTAAAGAAAGAAACCCAGACGACGTCGACGAGTCGGCCTCATTAGGTGACCCAAAGTGTCCGAAACTATGCAATTTACATGCACAGTGGCCCCTCGCAGATAGAACCCACGAGGGCCAATAGACCGTGGAAGATAAGAGCGGAACTGGAACTGAAACTGGACAACTGGCGACCAGACACTCCACCAAAATGCCAGGCAGTCCCAAGCGAATTATGTTGTACTGGGCATTTCAAGGGGATGGATAGATGGATGGAGGAGTGGGGACTATCCGACTATCCCACAGATCGTTGCGGGGCGATACATAAAATTTGAATGCGTTTTGCATACATTAACCCACTGTTGCCCACAGTTGTTTGTGCCCACTGTGCCCTAGTGGTTAACGGTCGCCAGTTGACCAACGGCGACTGGAAAATGTGTTTATTAAATTTTATGATTATTGGCCAGCAATTGAGCAGCTTGCCTTGGGAATGTGTCGTCGAGCACCATTCTGTTACCCCCTTCTCACCATCTTTTTTTAACCGTCTCCATTTCGATTGTGAAAATTGAAATTTTATGCGCACAAGTTGCAAGTCCCTTTAGAAAACCAGTCGAGAAATGGCCTGAAATTCTCACGCGTAACTGGAGCAGTTTTGGTTCTTCGTTTTTTATTTTTATTTTTTTGGTGGCTCTGCTATTCTCGGTTACACTTTGCGTTGGCAATTCAATTTACGTTTCCGAAATGCTAATTAAGCCATGGCGAGAGAAGGGTTTATTTTTGGGTGTTACACATGTTCTGCTGTTGTCTTGGGATCTTCTGCCTAATGTGCCACAAATTGAAAGCCATTAAGATTTTACGAGGCCCCACTGTAAACACGTTCTGTCCCCCATTTGACAGACATCAATCAGTGGCTCATTACGAATGCACAAGTTGGCTTTAAGAAAGCGCCGAAAAAGCCAACCGCTTTTTGGTCTAGTTCTTAAAGATGGGTTACTTCGAGCTAGAAAAACTAATTAGAGAAATATTTTGGGGAGTAAGGGGGTAGTGGGCGGTGGGCGGTGGGCGTGGAGGCGGTGCACATCGCTGGACAATTTTGAACGCTCCTCAAATTGGCAACTAAGTAAACTTGAAAGCTGACAGAGCTGGTCCATCCAGTCAGGTCTACACGCCCACTTTTCTTGGGGGACTGTTTGTTGTTGTGACTGCTTCGTTATGCAAATTTCCCACAAAGCTGGAACAAAAAAAAAAAAAAAACAAAAGACAGAAATGAAAATTGTGAGCTATATAGTAAATACATAAAGCAAATGGAAATGTTATATAAAGAAATGCCAGAAAAGACAAATAACATGGTGGAACGACAACAAATTTAAACGACGGATTTCTTTAGCTTCCATCTTTGTTTTTTTCCCCGCTTCTGCGGAATAAATAATAAACGTAAACAAATTAAAAGCGCTGGCCGAAAAACGAAAAACGAGAGGAAGGTCCTCGAACTGAAGCTGTCCTTTCGATATTTTCGCGTTTGTTGGTGGGCAGGGAGAAATCATCAAAGTTGTCCTCTGACTCGGCTTTGGTTTTTGTTTACTTAAGTAAGTTTATGCGGCTTTCAATTAGTTTTAATTGAAATTCGCATTGGTTGAGAAAAAGCAATTGGACTTTTGCGATTAATTAAAGTTTTTCCAAGCATTGTTGATTGCAATTGACTTTGGGAAGAGTTGGGATTGAGTTGCTGATTACAAATCCACCTTAGAAAAATATTATTATCTTAAAATGGTTTATAATATTTTTTTACTAACGTTACTTGCTTACTGATAATATATTTAAACTAAGGTTAGAAAATATTTAGAATTTGGTTATTTTATTTCCTATTTAAATTAAGTTATTCAAGTTGATCAATAAAACCAGTTGCAACTTTTGGTAATATCTGGCTATAGTAATTGTCCCCCTTCAGTTTGCATTAAGAGAACATTTTATTCAATTGCGGCCAGCGGAGAAAAACAAATAAAATTTATTTTCCCCCTTTTGGTGGTCACTTCTGGGAGAGAGCATAAAATAAAATGAAATGATGCGTTGAAAGCAAACGGAGAGCCCTTGGCTACTTTCCTCTACAAAAAGGAAAAAAAAAAATGGAAAAAAGAAAAAAGTGGGCGGCGCCAATTCATGTGTGGTTGGTTGCCAAAGGATACGTATTCCGGCCATTCGATGTGGGATGTGGGATGGTACAGCGTTTTTGGCTGAATAGATACATGGTCATGGGGTCCGGGGCCATTTGATGATTTTTGCGTCACCGTTGGTCAAAATCATTTCGAGCGCAAGCAACTGGAAACTGTATAAAAATAATGAAAAAGGGAGCGAGGAGAGCGCAGCGTGGCAACGAAAGCAACTTGAAATAAATGGTCAAAAGAAATAAACAGTCCCATAAAGAATAATCATTCAGAATTCTGCTGAATTATGCATGAGGCAGACGGTCCGTGGTCCCTGGTCCGCTTGGTCCATGGTCCATGCTCTCCTTGCTCCAGGAGCAGCAAACTGGACGCCACTTCAGAGGCGGGGGAACGGTCCAAGGAGCAGCAGGGGGTGTGGCACTCACATATGCGAAAAGCCCCTCCTGGAACACCCCCAACCCCCCAACCACCCATACCCCCACTCTTAGCCACTCGCCAAAGCATCATTTTCCTCTTTATTATCTGTTTGCTTAGCTGTGAGTGTGTGCTGGATTTTTATCAGCCTTCTAAGCAGTTAGCTAGTTACACAGCGAAAATGTAAGGAAAAATGGCAATAATTACATATAATTATAATATTAATTGTTTATCAAATAAAACATAAACTTACCAATATATATGTATGTAACAGAAAAATTACATGAATAACAGAAAAATCTTTAAGATACTTTTAAAAGAGTTTTAAGCTCATTAAGATTAAGAATCAATGTGTGATTAATATTTATATTATTTTTTTGGCTGTTTAGAAATTAAGAATATTCTAGAAAATTAAGATTAAAATAAAGACTTAAAGCATTATGATTCTATACAAAATAATTTGGAGATGTTGAATATAAAACTTTTTATAAATGGACCGTAAAAGACAAGCTTTTTCTCTTGATTCATAAAATCTACTTTTAACTGATGAAAATACTAGTTTCTTGTGTCTGAAGTAATCCTTTTCTTTCAGTGCATAAGTCGAGTTCCACTTCTATTTTTTCGGTGGATCCTCAGAGCGAGGGGATGTGGCGCTAGGAGTGTCCCGCGGAGCCGTTCGGCCTGCTCGGTGGCGCTTGGCCAAAAGTCAACCAACATTCGCATAATTTTCGATAAAGCTTTTCGCCAAATGAAATTCAAGTGGTTACACATGTCTCACAGCCTCGTCCAAACCCAACCCAGCGAATTTCGGCTTGGTCATTTTTCTTGGACACCCCCCAGCATCCTCACCCTCCCAGTCCGTTCCATAAAGCCCACTTCCTCCAAAGTCATGCTCATTTCCACATTATATGCCGCATCTGATTATCTCCCGTTTGTTGTTTGTTTGCTTAGTTTCTTTTGTATATTTTGTTTATTTCGTTGGTTTGTTTGATTGTTTGTTGTTTTTGCCGAAAAATACTGATAATAAAAGGTAATGATTGGGGGCTACCTAGATGTGGGTTATCTCTTTGTCGAAGGGCAGCTATGACTCGTCGGAATCGTAAGTGGAAACTTTAAGTTTTGATAAAGAAATATTCGTGGGGATGCTCACAGTGATTGATTAAAATTTACTGCAAATCAAAATTAATGTTCTTATATTTTTTCGGATTTAAATTGTAGAAGTAAAGTGGTAGCTTAAACTTTTATTGAGATTAAATAATAATAAAATTTATAATCGACTTAATCACTTGATGTTCTGAATTAAAATGATCTGTTTTTAGATTCCCAGGGAACTCTGTAATTTTTTCTGTTACTCAATCTGTTTGTTCTAGGTGCTGCACGAGTGGCTATTAAAACTTTCCAGGTCTCGCCGGACCTTATACAACACGTTCATAAATACGGCTGTGTTTTGTCTGGACCCCTCAGTTAGGCTCAGCACTTATTCGAAACGAATCGTGTAGAATCGGTTTATATTTTGCAACTTATCAGGTAGACAACCGCAGCAGACGCTTATGCCTGCGGTCGCTCCGATTGCATCAGATGAGGTGCGAAATCACAGATTCCGATTTCCAATCGGAAGCTCAGATCAGTGTTTAATCGAAAATCAATTGATCGCATGGCAATGTTTTTCCGAACCTATAAACAAGTTATATATAGCTATATTTAGCACAAGTGATTAGTTGTCGACTGGACTGGAATTTGTTTATTGTTTACGATCGGCAATCGTGTGATCGAGAACAAATCGATCAACCCTCGCGCGATTGCGCTCCACTGGGGGCCTGTAAATTGTCGTATTTTCGCGATAGCACAGCCCATTTAAATTGCAAAAGAAAAACATAATTTAATCTGTTATTGTTTACGCCAAAAGTGTATGGAAAACACTTCTAAAATGCGTCAATGAACGCATTTTCCTTCGACTCGTCCCAGATAAGCAACAAAGTCTCAACATAGGAGGTGCTATGTGAAAAGGAAAATCTAAAGGAAAATTTCTGCTGATTCTGTCTCCAAGGGGGGGCCTAAAAAATAAATAAACTTTGAACTTGAAATGCATGATCGTGCTAATTTGCTGATAATCTAAAGTCATTCCCGATTAAAAACGCACATGATTTGAGATCAATGTTAAAGATGATTTGAAGACTAGACGGACATAATGCGGTCATTGAATCTCCGCGATGATCAAAGCGAAAACGTGAGAACAAAAATCCAGTGTTTATTTGGTATATTTGGCATAAATCAACGGGGGTATCAAATTTTGTCCAGCATGCGTTTTTCGATGCGGTTGTGGAAGCTTCTCCCTCAACTCTCCCTCGCCGAGATTGCATTCCCAGCTCAGCTGATAGTGACGAGTATATCAGCGGACCGACTTCCATATATGTATCGCCGATGATGATAATGATGATGATCGGAGGTTTAATTAGGCGCGGCTGTAACATGAACATTCATAATTCCGCTGGCATTCAATCAATGCAGACGTGAACAATTCCAGTGATCAAGTAATCGACTCAACCAGCGATCTCGTGCAAAGTGAACAGTGTCTCAATCCCGCCCAATACAATAATTCCCACAAAAGGCGCCACACAAGAAAAAACACACTCAAAACAAACAGATAATTAAATCCAGGAAAACCATGGCGCAAAGTGATTCGGGAAGTTGCTGTGCCAAGCTTGAAAAAGGTAAGAAAAAAATTATAGAAAATGTTTTTTATAAATTCTTAAATGAATTAAATACTATAGACGAGGTATGCTGCCAGAAAGCTAAGGATGTGGTTCCAAAAAATATATCCCCCAAAATTTTCCCTGACAAAGTCTACAAATCCGTTCAACCAAAAGGAGAGGATGCGACGGGAATGACTTGCGAGTGTGGAGTTTTTGGAGCCATCGCATGCGGGGATTACCCAACACAGGTGGGTTAAAAATATTTTAAGCTAAAAAAATATAAATATAAAATAAAAAAAATACATGTGTTCAGAAAATGTTAAGTAGAAAAGTGCAAAACTTAATTTAAAAAGAAATTCCGTTGGCACGTTCAAATGTTCTGCTTGTGTACATAATAATACTTTTTGAAGAAAGCATATATTTTATAATAAGTTATAATTACAATAGTTTATTTAATACTAAGAATAACAAATTATAAGTAATTTAAAATGCCTTGTTAATGCATTCTACCTCAGAGTTTTTCTATAACTCATTAATCTAAAAATAGAACGTAAGTGGCTGTAAACGTTTATATGAACCGAACAAAAAATCGTGAAAACAATTACTTGCAAAATCAATTATTTTGCAAAAGTCCTGGTCAGCATTTTTTCAATCGTAAGCAATAAAAAACAATCGTAAATTGTGTGGTCGACTTCATAACAATCTTAAGTAATCCCAGCCTGAGAAAGATCGTTATCAGCAACCAGCCAATAAATGTGTATTACTAGGCAAAAAGGTAGACTCCGAATCAGCCGTCTAGGATAGATTATATTTTCGATTTTGTAATCATAACGAGAGTTCAGATCATTGAGCCTGTCAAAAGCAGATCACTTTTCTAGTTCAAATTCTATGCTGCATGGTCGTACGTCAGACAAATGCAAATCTCTAAACGGCAAGTGGGTCAATGGTAAACCTCGTGCCACGGAATCCACTAGATTCACCCCCCACCGATCTTCTAACGTTCCGATTCTAATTCCGATTCCGAATCTGTATCTGTGGCCAATGCCCAGAGTCTGTAGTGACGTCAATGAGATCGAACCGAATCCATACACGCGGTTTGCGGTTGTAATCTCTGTTGTTTGTATTTTTTTATTGCCCACTGTAATGAAATGGAAAATAACAGAAAGTACGAACGCATTCTCGCTTGGAAACCAACAATCCGTTATCGGTTGTTCTTCTCGGGTGACTTTTAGTTTTAGTGGCAAAAACAACTAACCTGTAGATTATTCATGAAAATATTTTCTGGGTTATTTTGACAAACATCAGTTGGGGTAGGTTCAAATTAGATTATTATTTGGTGTGCAAAAGCAAACAGATAACCCATTTCAATACTCTTTGAAAAACAAAATTAATACAGATCTATCGATTCTTTGAAAGTTATTATTTTAATTAATGATTTTCTTCCAGCTCGACATAGCCCAAATGATTTGCTTGGGACTGGTGGCACTGCAACATCGAGGACAGGAGTCGGCGGGAATCGTGACCAGCCTGGGAAAGTGCTCCAAGAACTTCAGCGTCCACAAGGGAATGGGCATGATCAATAATCTCTTCAACGACGAGGCCATCAGGAAGTTGAAGGGCAACCTGGGAATCGGACACACTCGCTACTCCACGGCAGCAGCCTCGGAAGTGGTGAACTGCCAGCCATTTGTGGTGCACACTGCCCACGGAGCACTGGCCATTGCCCACAATGGAGAGCTGGTCAACTGCGAGTCCTTGAGGAGGGAGGTCCTGGAGCGAGGAGTGGGCTTGTCCACCCACAGCGACAGTGAGCTGATTGCCCAATCTTTGTGTTGTGCTCCCGAGGATGTTTCCGAGCACGATGGACCCAACTGGCCGGCCAGGATTCGCCACTTCATGACCCTGGCTCCACTTTCCTACTCCCTGGTGGTGATGCACAAGGACAAGATATACGCTGTTCGAGATTCCTACGGAAACAGGCCTCTCTGCTTGGGTAAAATAGTTCCTGTGGATGCAGGACATGCGAATATCAATGATCAACTGGCCGAAGGTTGGGTTGTGAGCAGCGAAAGTTGTGGATTCCTCTCTATTGGAGCCAGATATGTTCGGGAAGTGGAACCCGGCGAGATTATCGAACTCTCGAGGAATGGTTATAGAACCGTGGATATCGTAGAGCGACCGGATTACAAACGCATGGCCTTCTGCATCTTTGAGTACGTTTACTTTGCCCGAAGTGATTCCATGTTCGAGGGTCAAATGGTTTACTCAGCACGTCTGCAATGTGGTCGCCAGTTGGCCAGGGAATCTCCGCTGGATGCTGATCTGGTCAGTTCGGTTCCGGAATCTGGAACAGCTGCTGCTCATGGATATGCCAGAGAATCGGGTTTACCCTTCGGAGAGGTTCTCTGCAAGAATCGCTACGTGGGACGCACTTTTATCCAACCATCAACAAGATTGCGACAGTTAGGAGTTGCCAAAAAGTTCGGAGCCTTGGCCCAAAATGTTGAGGGAAAGAGAATCGTACTGGTGGATGATTCTATAGTAAGAGGAAACACCATTGGACCGATCATCAAACTGCTGCGTGATGCAGGAGCCACCGAAGTGCACATCAGGATTGCCAGTCCGCCACTCCAATATCCTTGCTACATGGGCATAAATATTCCGACTCGCGAGGAGCTCATAGCCAACAAATTGAATGCCGATCAGCTGGCGGATCACGTGGGAGCGGATAGTCTGGCCTACTTGAGTGTGGAGGGATTGGTGAAGGCCGTTCAGATGAACAAGGCTCACGTGAATCCACTGAAAGCTGGTTACTGCACCGCCTGTCTAACGGGCGAGTATCCTGGCGGATTGCCCGAGGAGCTCAGCTGGTAGACTCACAGGATCTTCAATTCTCTTAGGATTAGCGTAGTTGTTAGCTTGAGTGTATAAACAAATATATATTTAAACATCAGGGTCTTTGACCCAACACAAAAAGCGTTGTTTTTAAATAAACAACCAAGGGGGGATTTTTGAGGTGATAAGAAAAAACGTAAGACACGTCATTTTTTTAAAGCTCAAAAGATTTTTATAAAAACAAGCAAGTAAATGATTTACCAATTATTTTATATTATTTATATTAAACCATTAAAATCTATTACATTTTTTTTAAAGATAATTATATTTGATAATAATCTATAATTATTCTTAACATTTTTGAAGGCAAAGTATAAAATGGATTTTTATAGAGAAATATCAAATACATTAACTTGAAAGAGTAACAGTCCCATTTAAAATACTTACTTCGCTGAAGGAACTTAATTCCTGACTTTATATAGCCTTCTCGCCGGATAAGAACACATACTCTAAATGCTAATGGGCCACATCAACGTCTGATTATTTTCAAAACTGTCTAATGCCATAACTTCAATTCATTTCAATTTATATTTCCAAGCTTTGTTTGCCGAAGGGGAGGAAGTGGAGTCGTCCGCTTCCGGTTATAGCCGCGCTCAGATATAGCCTCATATCATACAATATGGTAATCGTGTTTGCTTTTTTCGCCCCGTCTCTTTCCGGCCGTGTCCTGCCCCCAATATCCTTGCGTTCCTCTCGCTCTCTCGCGAAGTCTCGCCATTGGGGCGTTGCAATGTCTAAAGCGGGGCGTTTAGGGCGTTTAATCCTGCGGAAGATGTCCTTGCGGTTATGCCGGGGGGATATCCGAGTCCCCCAACTCGCTCCTCTCATCGTATATAACTTTTTTCCTTCTTTTTATGACTCGCGCCGGGTACTGGAGTCAACAATGTCATCATTATTCTTGAATATTGTGTTGTATTTTCGCAAACAATTTCGCTAAGCTGCGCGGCATTGGCAAAGCCGGAAAAGGGGGTGGTGCTTTGGGTAGGGGTGTGGGGGGTGGGAGCGAGTGTCCTGGCCTGAAGTGTGGCGAGGACATAAGAGAAGAAAATAATATGCACTGTCATTGTAACTCGCTTGATTAATTCTTGTGTAGGGTATTCATTGTTTGCAGTTTGGCTTTTGAAGCTCTTAGATGAAGATGAATAATTTAAAGAATTTATTAGGATTTCTTATTAGATTTTGAAGGTGTAACTTTATAGCTATATAAAAAGGAAATATAGAATTTTATAAAATGAGGCTTATTGAAAATTTTGATATATGTAGGTATTCTACAATTACCAAATGAGATCGGTTTATTTTTATAGAAAAAGTTAAAACTGTGAAATATTTCATTTTATTCACAATATAATGTATTTATTATTGGTTTTATTTCTCCAAGATTGTAGAGCATTTTCTTGGCTCTGTCAGCTTCCTTTTTTCGGCGGATCTCCTCCGCCACTCCATTTAAGTTCTCAGCAAGTGGCTACATAAAAGAAACGACTCCTGGCAACATTGGAAACAGACGCTGGCACTTCTCTCCAACACACCAGCACCGCTTGCTGCTACAAGGATACGAAGGAAGGACCAAGATATCCACGAGGGGGGAAAAAAATATATAGAGAGCAGCGCTTGCTTATGTGCGCCGTCGATCAGAAACACAAACATCCTGGGCCCACTGCCGCAGACAGTGACAACTAAGCAGAGCCATATTGCCAGGCCCCAGTTACACCCCCCTGGAAAAACCCCCTAAAAACCCTCCTTAAAACCCCCCTTGAAAACCCCCTTAAAACTCTCCAACTCTGCGCCACAAAACATGCTTTAAATTTTTTAATAACGCCGGGCTACAAGAGCGCTGACGCCCACGTCCGGACTTGGGATCCGGCTTTCGTGCCCGATGACGACAGCCCGGCCCCGCCCCCTTCGGCCCCACCGCCCCCTTACCGCCCTTTCCGCTTCAGCGTCGTCATTTGCACAGAAGTTATGTAAATTAATGTTTACTTAAGTTCCCCATGTTATTTCTCCTCGCATTCTTTTTTTTCGCCTTGCACTTTCACAATGTTTCCTACTTCAAAAACAAAAGCAGACAGTGGGTCTAAAAAAATGGTGAGGGGATTGAAGGTTGGCAAACAGAGTAAAAAAATTGCAATAAATTTTGGCAGCCGCTTTTGCAATTTAATAAAAAGCTTTCGGGGTAAAACGAAGTGGGGAAAATCATCTCCAGTATAAACAATCAAGCTTATTATTGAGTCAAATGGCTGAGTAAATATATGAGCTGAAATTATGGCAACCGCATGCAAATGAAATGGCCGTAGATGAAGATTATGAAGCCATTATCCAAACACTTCTGGGAAATTGTCGCCGCAGAAATTTAATTTAAACATCGGGGCCGGAGGCATCGAAGCCGTATCCTTTTGCCACTTGACACATGCAACACGTGAGTGGCAAGCGGCAAGCCGCACGAACCGTCAAAAGGCAAACAAAGGGCTCCTTGCCAGCCAGCACGATGTCCTTCGCATTTCCCACTTTTCCTTCAGTTGATAGGCACGCAAAACGTGCTCGGCATGCAAGACATGCGATGGCCAAAACGACACCGAATCAAATGTAATTTTCTGGCCAATAGAACACTTTGTGGGCTCCCAGGATGGCTGGCCGAAACATCCTTTCTCCAGTTCATTAGCAAATCAAACTTCCGACTTTGGCCTCAAGACATTTGTGGCATGTGTCCGACGCAAAAAGGCACGAAATTCCTGTCCGGCGGAATTTGCATTCCTTGAACCCAAGATCCGAAGGACTAGAGAACTTCTTGTTAGCTGGTAATTTGATTTAAGGGCTTTGACTTCACCAGATATCCAGGAAAAAGGTAAGTGGTCAAAAGGGACTCGGAACATATTTGAAGGTGATTATTTAGAGCTATTTTACTAAGTATAAAAAAGGGTTTGGGTTCATTTTATTTACTTTACTAATTTAGCTGATTTTAAATTATTATCCAATTAATTTCTTAAATATTAAACTACATTTCTTAAAAGAAACCAAAAAGGTAGATAATTTTTGTGCAAAACCAAGCGTTGTAAAAGTTGATGTCCCTTTTAAAGTCGTACATATTTTGCCAGCTAATTTTCCTTTTCCCAAAATGGAATCTAATCAAATGTCCGCCCTCCCAGTTTTGTTCTGCTTAGCTTGAAAAAGAATTTGCATAATATTTTTAGACGCAACGGAATAAAGTTTTGAGAGCGAACGAACAAACCAGACGACTGAACAACATTTCCACAACTTTGCGTTAATTTTCTAAATATTTTCTAAAATTTTTAAATTGCATTTGGAGCAGGAACGTTGGAGATGCCGCAGGGCGATCCCAAGCCAAGTTGACGTGCCTCGTCTCATTCAACGAAAACACACCAGCAACAGCAAGTTGAAATTTATAATTTGAAATTATGAACTAATATAATTTAATTTTAATGGCTTGCACGCAGAGCCCCAGCGGTATAGATGATGCCCCTTGGGTGAAAATCCAACCAGGATGGGGGGCGTTGGGGGGATTTTCTGGGCGGACACAGGCAGGAAATTAAGTGCATTATACCTTTATATATATATTGTTGGTTATTGTGCACAAACAGCAAATACAACAAAAGCGCGTTGAGGTAATAAATATGTATAAAGCTTGTGTTTGTGCACCAAAGAATGCAATTTCCCTCGAAATAAAATGGGGGAAAAAGGGGCGGCGAGGGGGCGGCATTTGACATCGCGTGCTTTGCGGCGATTTTCCCGCTGCATTGGCCAATTCTGAAGAGCTCGCAAAGATAATAACGATAATTAAGGCAAGCGGCAAACCAAATCTCTGATTTGAGTGACATGCAACAACAAAATAATTCACAGCCAGTGCGTCGCCATGTGTGTGAGTGTGTGTTTAATTGAGATCTGAGTGTGTGTTTGTGTAAGAATGAAGCCACCATTTTGGGGGCTGTTACACTTCCGGCCATGATTGTCACAATGTGCGACAATGCATGATGAAAGCTAACCGAGATTTGGATGCACTTGAAGGAATTCGGGGGTAAATTATAAAGTAATAATAACTCAAAGATACTTTATTCCTTTAAAAATGTTTTTTTGATAACTGTCGACGTTAAATAAGCAATATATAATCAATTAACAAAATCAAATTTTACAGTGATTAATCGTTTACAGTTTATTAACCATTTATAACCATAAATTAACTAATAATTTAATGACGCACTCACGATTCGGTGACTTAATTCGATAATTACAAAGCTCCTAATTGATGCATTATACCTGTTTTCCCTCTCTGCATGGAATGTTCAATTGGCTGGATGGATTTTTCTGCTGATTGTTGGGGTGCAGGCAGGTGATTCTTTTTTATTATTGTTTTTGCCTTTGTTGATGTGGTGGGGCATCAAGTGAACAACTGGGCGACTGCATCTGTTTTGCTTCCCATTGCGTGTAAGTTCATTATGTTGCCAACAGTTGTTGTTGCTCTTGTTCATTGTGTGCCTGATACGCCCAACAACAACTGCGAAAACAATAAAAACAACAACCATAACAAACAACCACACAAGCAGCAACAACAACATCCGCAGTCGCAGTTGTCTGGCCACCATTGCAAATTTCTACATGGCCGCTCAACTGAAAATTGTTTGTGCAGTTTTATTTTTTACACATTTTTTTTATTCACATTGTTGATGGCGTTGTTGTTTTTGGTTGCCTGTTGTAAATTGCAATTTCCCGTTGCTTTTGACTCGTTGCTGCCTTTTTTCTTAATGTTGTTTCTGTTTGCTGCCAGATTATTTATTATTTCGATTAATTTATTTTAATCCATCACCCGAAGGCGTATCAAGTGATGTGGCTAATTTAATTGCAGCTCATTAATTTATGTAAACTTATTGAAGTGGTAATTATTGTAGCGATATGCGATAGGCGGGTTCAACGAATATGGTTGTTGAACATGTAGAATATTTATTTAGTAGCATGTTATACCCTTGCAGAGGGTATTATAATTTTAGTCAGAAGTTTGCAACACAATAAAGGAGATACCTCAGACCCACTAAAGTACTTATATTTATTCTTGATCAGCATCACGATCTGAATCA